GGGTTCCCCTGCGGGTGATTGCCAAGCTGGGGGAACGCACACTCCATGGTGGATCTGGAAGTGGACCGAATATCCTTCTGGTCCACTTCTGGGTTCACTGCTGAGCACACAGGGGGCCCCCCAGCACTCCTGTGGGACACTCCATCTGCCCCAGCATCGCACTGTTCACGAGCTGTGCTTGCTACCTCGAGGTATGTAGAAAAAAAAACATTTAAAGCTGTGTTTATGGCCGAATTGCTGATTCTCTGAATCAACCTGAAAGCTTCAGCTTTGGATTTGGCTGAATTGAATCGGGGACAGTGATCCAAATCAATGAATTGAATCGCTGTCCCCGATTCAGGCCAAATCCGAATTGAATAGGGCCTGTTACACACCCCTAGTAGAGGTCTTAACTGGCTTGGGAGAGAGTGGAGCCTAGGCCACAGAGCAGGGCAACAGCTGAAGAGGGATGAAAGCTGGTTGGGTCAGGGCTTGCAAGGGGTGAGAATCAGGGCCAGGGGTTCCATACCCCATGAGGGGCTGGGTCTGTCAGAGGTAATAGGCTTGAGCCCAGGGAGGGGTTGAGATTGTTCAAGGTACAGAGGCCCAAGCCCAGGAGGGAATGGGACAGTTAAAAGCACCAGGGCTGGAGGTCCCAACATTGGTAGAGATTGTTCCAGGTTTAGAGGCCCACATTGACAGAAGTTGACACGGAGGATGAAGGCTCATGGATGAGAGAATTGACTTGATTGGGCAGAGGGGGTTAATGCCCAAGGAAGAGCGAGGGATTGTTAACAGCTGTGTGGCTGCAGCATGGCTACAAGGGGAGATGAGGAGGCCATGTAATTAGTCCTTAAGGCAATGAGCAGTAACACCTGTGTTCTTGAGTATGAACTCTCGTGAGGCAGCTCCCTTTTTTCTAGAAGCAAAAGGACCTCAAGGCATGATAGGCGAGTTGGAGGGGAGATTGCCCAAAGAAAGTTAAAGTGATAGATAAGGGTTTAGCGGGGCTCCAAGGGCATCATGGCCACCCCTGGGATGGAACCCTGTTCAGGCTCTTAATTTTGTGTTTGCACAGGGTCTCACATAATGAAGTCTTGAGCCATAACTAAGGTTTCTAGGTATCCCACTTTTTCAAATAAGAATTAATAGTTGATAGTGAAAGTAATAGAATCAGGCATTTCTGCAGGCTTCTTAACCTACGGTCAGCTATAGGACTGAAGAACTGACTAGACATGCCATTTCAATTGCATGCCATAATTAATTTTCCTTTTTCAGATTTGGGGCATGAAGTTATTCTGACCTGAGTAATAGTTGCCACATTCCACTGTAGCAGAGGTTTCATTTTAGAAATGTTTAGCATTTCTTTAAGAGGAAAGGTATAAATATATTCCTTATATATTACTATTAAAAGTATTGAGAGAAATGCACTACTAAATATTTGGCTATTCCCATCAGGCTAGATGAAACAAGGCCATGTTTATAATACATTTGACTGTTGCTAGCAATTTAAAAGCAAGATTCATAGTCTATTTTTGGTTTCTTGGAGTTCCTGTTTTCTGTAGTACCTGTTTGCTACTGCTTACGTGAATCAATGTGCTATTTTGGTCTTTTCATGTCCATCCTAGATCTTGCTGAACCACCTACGCTATGGTTTCTCTGCATGATAAGGAACTAAGTTTGAACAAATTTTTATCTGACTAAATGCAGGCCACAGCCATCAGTTTGTTTAAATCTCTTATTTTAAAAGAGTAATGAAAAAGTAGTTTTGACAAACCCAAGCACTGTTCGCACCAGGTAGTACAACTGTTAACCGTGTTAACCAAAGCCATTTAAAAAATGGGTTTAAGATGTAGTATAGATGGGGTAAAAGTTTATGTTGTCTCTCCTCTCCATTTTGTATACTTGTGTAAACATATCATCTGTTGAGGCCCTTAAATATTCAAAATTTAAGTGCAAGAACTGAATGTACAACAACAAACTCTTTTTAGAAACAGCTCTTAAGCAGCACCCCTGGTCCAAATCACAGCTCAGCTTTAAGGAAATTTGGGGCTAAGTTAAATGGCAAACTTCCTAGCTTGACCCTGACTTTATGCACATTGGATCTGATGCTTAAAATGGTAAAGTCCTGGCTTCTCTCATCGAGCAGAAAAAATAGCATGTTTGGGCCTGTTAAGAGACAAGCGGTACCCAAGCTCCCTGGTCGGTGTTCCACCTTCTCTCTCATGTAGAAGCACCAGTGGTTCTGTTATATAGCGTGCTATATGTTCACTTTTTCATTGCTAAGGCTTGATGTAATTCATTTTGTGATGTTCTGGTAATATTTTAATATGAAAGGTTTACATTTTATATATCATATATATTATAAATTCATATCTGTTATATATGTCTTATAAAATTATGTTATTCAGAGAAGGGAAAAAATACTTCATACACAACCCAAAATAGTTATTCATAATTATCTTCAATCCATGATGTATCTATCTGGAGGCCTCAGAAATGCACTGGTTCTTAGGTGCCAAGATTTTCAAAAACAAGGGCTTGAAATTAGCCTTCTAAGCCAGTGGCCAGCTTTCCAGAGGAGCAGAGCAAGTCATAGAGAGTAGCTGAGTTTCCCTTTGACTTCAGCAGTGCATGACATTTGTACTTCTGGCTGTCATAGGTTCTGCGGTATCACATCTTCAGTAAACGTAAGCCTGGTCCCTGGAATAGCAGTAAGGTTTTTTGCTTTGGTCTAGGGCCATCTACAACAAAACCCAGATCTTGGTATGCTTAATTTCTTTTTAGCTTTTTTCCTTCTTTATTCCTTTCCATAGTTGTGCACTTTACATTCCAGCAGCAACCAGCAATCCCTGCCATATCTGCTAGCTACCCTACATCATTTCAATTTGGGGAAGATTAGCCAGTTGTTTTAATCTAGGTTGAAAAGATACTGTGGGTAAACCCATTGTTTCTTATGAGAAACAAAACAAATATACAGGATGGAAATGGGTAGCAGGATCTTTATGTCATCTCACTTACATACTGAAGACGGCTTCAAATATTATAAAGATCTTGGTATTGTAATATATCCCATAAATGTGCCTGCTTTAAAGGTAAAGACCTAATTCATGCCCCAGAGAACATAGTCTAAAATGGTTCTATCACTGCTCCCAAAGAGGGATCAAGCTAGGTACAAGGGTGCACTAGTCTGAATCTGTTTGCAGGATTGAGACTTAAATTAGGGTGGGAATAAAGAAGGCAGAGAGGAACACAGGTGGCGCTTAATCATCTGCAGAAGCTGCAGTTTTCCTAACATATACAGTCATGTCCCTGCACCTGTATACTTTGACCTGACCATGTTAACAGCTTGTGACACTGCTCTCTCCCCACCCCCATTATTAAACTGTCCTAAGGAAATAAAGTTTTATAGGAGGCTATTCTTTAAAGGGCTATTAAGTTTACATTCTTGTCCGTTTTTATTGGCAGCAACTTCTAATTCTTACAATTTATGGACCTATTGGAGACTTTTATGGCCTCCTCTGATATCCAAGAAAATCGCATTGCAGCGCTGAAAACATCAAAAAACCACAGGGAAGTCACAGGAATTGAACACTGAATGTCCAGAGTATGAGCTACCGACTTAAGAGAGCAGCCTATAAAAAGAGACCAAATACATAGGACCTTTGAAAAATATCCTGTCTTTATTTCTTTAGACTAGGCAACTGAACTGATTTGTCATGTTGGAATACATTAGGATTAGCAATACTGAGAAGGTACCAAGGTCATGAATTTCTTCTGACTCTAGTTTAGTAAAAGAAATTGTAGTCTTTCCATTTTTTCTTTTATTATAGCAAAATATTTTTCTCTCATTCTCCTGAAGGGGATGATAGGGGAAACAAACAAGTTTGCTATCAGTTTGCCTTCAAAATTAAGAGAAAAATGGTCATCTGTAGGCAGTGAAAAAGTACAAAAAAATTAAATTCTTTTACAGTCTTTTTTTTAAAATGTCTCTGAAAACATTAATATTTTGTGGGGAGAGGGGGAAAAGAAAGGTTTTAGTGAAAATTAAGTTGAAACCTAAGCTACAGTGACCACTACCTTCAAATTCTGAAATAGAAAAAAATATATGTGATAGAAAGTAATTAGCTTGTTTAAGGACAGGGTCCTGTCAATATTTATTAATAATATGCACACACACCTACATATGTCTCTACAGGTTCATGGCCTAATTGATTATCCTGTATCCAAAAGTAGTTCACTGATTTATTCTGAATTAGTCCAAAAATAAATGAGTTAACAAATATATATATTTTAATTACTATTAAAAATACTGGCAACATATTTTACGTGCTAGATAGCTGAGAACTTCAGGATTAAGATTAATAGTCAGGAAAATACAGGATAAATTAGAATCATATAACCGGGTCAGATACTGTTTTTAAACCAAAAGAGCAAAATATGAACTTCTTGCCATGATCATACCTGTGAAACCAATTGATCCCCATCAACTTCCCTGGAGATGATAATCAAATGTAATGGGATGGTGCATGGAACTATTATTATGTTATGTATTGTTTAATTGGATAAATTTAAAGAATAACAATGATGCATAAATGGAAACCCAAAATAAGCTACAGCTTGAGAAATCAACATTTTTTTTGTGCTCAAATTTGTTATATTGATAGGAAAGGAAATTCATGCTCATAAATATTCCACAATATTCTCCATATTTAACACATTAGTATCACTAAACATTCCCTAGAGTTTATGGAAGTGAGATAAAAATAAAAAAGAGTTTCAAGTATGGGAATGGAAAGTATGACATTCTGATCAATGGCAGAATATATTTCTAAAAATAGCAAGAGCTACTCAGGTCCTATTGGCACATGATTTTGTACTGGAGATAATGAAATCAACTGTAAACCACAGTTACTTATTTCAAGGAAAGTCTGTGTGTGCGGATACGTATATCAGAATAACACTATCCTATTTTGATTTCGCTTACATTGGTAAAACACTGACTTGCATTACACTGAAATAGGATGTCCATATTCAGAAAGTGTGTCAACAAGAAATTTGCCCTGGAAAAATTGAACGTATAAATTAAAATAGCTTGTGTTATCTCAAGACAAGTTTGATTGTAGACCAAAGCTAAAGCAAAGGATTGCCTACTCTCCTCCAATACCTGTACCTAGTGACAACACACTTCTGAGGAAAAGTTTAACTGTATTTACTGCTGGGCTTTTATGCCTTACCTGATGCCATGCACGCCTAATTGATAAAAACCCTTCGAAGTACAGGGGCAAAGCCGTGATCCTCTGTCTTTCATGGAAGATTCTCCGTGGGGCTGGCTTAGGGATTTCTTCAAGATCTCCCATCCTGCTTTCTGTCCCCTGAGGTGTGGATGCGTTTTGTTTTTTTTTCTGTCTGTTCTTGTCTGCTTGTTCTCAGCCTTGGGCAGAAGAGAGCTTGCTCTGATGTGAGTTAAAAAAGGCAGCGGTATAAAGAGGAAGTCTCCGCAGTTACTGTTAAACACCTACCACAGACGCCTTTTGCACCGTAGAATATAAGCAGGAGCAAGGTTAATTGGATTAGAGGGGACTCTCCTAGAGTGTAATTTATGGTAAAGCACCTTGACTTGCAAGGAAAGTACATGAAAATAATGATGATCCTGATAAGATGTGGCATTATTATTCTTGGGGAGTTGGCAGAGAAAGCTAACAGGTTCTGCACATCTGTTCACTATTGTTTTTGTAGAAGATCCCCAGGAGTTAGGAGATTAGGTGGGGTTTTGGCATTATAAAAGTAATTGATAGAGGAAGAGGGTTTTTTGGTGGGGTTTTTTTTTTTTTGGAACTGTGTTTTGTTGTTATACACAAGTGTGAGTGAGATTTCTGATAGAAAAGCAGTCTTTGTGGAAGATCTAAAACTTTCAAGTGATGACTGAGTGAAATAACTTCCCAAGGATGAAATCCTGGTCGTTAGAGTTTAATGGAAAATCTGCACTAACTTCAACAGAAATATGATTTAATCCTAAATCTCTTCCCCTTCCAGGAATATTTTAGCTAAATCAGGAATAGCTAGACCCAATATTGTGATTTTTCTAAGGTAAGAAACATCAAGAAAAGTGAACTTGAAAAATCTTTTCAGGTCTTCTCCAGAGAAAAAGGGAAAATATTTTTTCTTTCATTTTATGGATCATATTCAAGGGTATTTGGCTGCAACTTGCACACAAGTCCAACAAGACTTTATTGTATGTAAATAGGCAATTACTGTATCTCTAGCCCCTGGCATTGGGCTAATATTGTTACTGTGTATTTAGCATTCTTACTGTATATCAACAGGTTACAATGTGACCTAGCAAAGGTTTCAACCAGAAAGTGTGTTCTAGGTTAGCTCAAGTGAAGACCCCTGGCCTGCATCCAGATGAGTGTGGCCATGTGGTGTGTGGCACCACAGACCCATCTGTGGCACCACACACCGCACATTCAGGCATTTCTTGCACTCCTACCTTGCAGTACAGGAGGTTTCTTTGACCCAGGGAGATCACAGAGTCAAAAAAAACCTCATGTGGAAAAAAGCAGGGTGGTGCACATGGCTGGAGCACGTGCTGCCCAAAACTGGAGGCTGGCCTGCTAGAACCATGGTCTGGCTGCCAGCCAGGCTCCAAGCTGCAGGAGCACCATGGCTGCAGCGTCCCCAGCCCCCAGGTAAGGCTGCTGGGGTAACCTGCCCGTGCTAGAGGGTATGTGGCACAGGCATTCCCCGGGGACAAGTAGCAGCTGCACAAGGTGTGCTGCTGCTTTTTGTCCCTGGGGAACCGAATGTCCATGCTTGTCTGGACGCGGCCTTGGAGTTTAAAGCATATTTTGCTAAATAATACTAGACTTGATTCACTATTGCCCTTCAGTGTATGCAGTTGTATATATCTGTACAAAATGAAGGCAAATGAGAATAGTAGCATTATAGTTACTCTGTAAGGGTGGGAATGGGTTTGCAAAGTGGAGGTCAGTGGGGAATTGGATCCCCCGATTATTACTTGCTATAAGAAAAATTCTGTGTTTAATTACTTCAGAGCGCATTTTGAAATGTTGGTCTGTTCTCGCTAACTTATCTTTTCAATTCTCCAGCTCAGCATGCAACATTCTCATTTTGATTTTTATACTAGGCATCTAGCTAGTCTGTACTGTACTTCTAAAGAGCTGATAGTTAACCTTCTTTAAAATATTACCCCAATTACTCTGCCTAGTGGAAATGTAATTTTCCCAGTTTCCAAACTGAACCCCATTACTAAAAAAACTCTCATGGATTCTGGTGTTTTTATTATAAAATCATAAGTATGATGAAATCAAGGCAAAGCCACAATTTTTTGTTTTCCAGAAAAATATCTTTCCATTAGACGGATTTGCCTCAAAAGGATCCTTCTGTACTTTCTGTTTAGATGCTAACATAATCTACAGGAAACCTGCCTAGGTATTGTTTATGCTCCCTTTACTGCCCTCTGCTGCTGCAGAGTGCCTGCAAAAGTGAAAGGGGTACAGTTTGTAGCTGTATTATTGTACAGGCAAAAGGAATTGGGGCTCATGACAGAGGTCATATCTTTTATTAGACCAACTAGGTATTTGCAAAAAAAGTTTTTATTTGCAAGATTTTAGGCATAATCACCTTTCCTTAGGCATAAGAGAATGTAAAGATTGTAAAATTGCTCCTAGGTGGAAATGAAAATTCATACTTCATAGGAAAGCAGGAGGTGTTGGAAGATCTCCTGGTCTGATTAGTTCATTTTGTGCAAATTAGGCTGAGACATTGGCAACGTACACCCCTTGCAAAAAGGTGCCATCGACACTGCTGCAGTCACCGCTCACCCCCACCCCGCTGCCGGCTGTAGCGTCTGCAGGCGGTCCATGATTGCTGCTGCCTGCTGCTGGCTGCATCTGCAGGTGGTCGCTGACCATGGGCCGGCACTCACCACCACCCCAACCACTGCTGCTGTGGCCACCTGTGGAAGCTTCCCATTTGCTTCCACCATGCTTCCACTGCTGACAGTGCCACCGCTGCCTGCAGGAGCCCGCTGTGCCCCCCCAGCCTTCGGGGACGCACGGTGTTCATGGGCTTAGAGAAAACTTAGAACAGTCTATTTAGCTTGATGTTGTCTGGTGTCAAGTAGGATGTTTCATAGTTTCATAGTAGGTAGGGTCGGAAGGGACCTGAGGAGATCATCTAGTCCGACCCCCTGCCATGGGCAGGAAAGAGCACTGGGGTCAAACGACCCCGGCCAGATGTTCATCCAGCCTCCTCTTAAAGACCCCCAGGGTAGGAGCCAGCACCATTGTGTCCGTTGTTTCTTGCACCTCCCGGGATTGCTCAGAGGAACAGGAACTCTCCCAATGCCTGCTGGTCCCCCTTGACTAGTTTGTAGACTGCCACTTGATCCCCTCTCAGCCTTCTCTTGTGGAGGCTGAACAGGTTCAGGTCCCTCAGGCTCTCCTTGTAGGGCCTGCCCTGCTGCCCCCTGATCATGCAGGTGGCCCTTCTTTGGACCCTCTCCATATTGGCCACATCCCTCCTGAAGTGCGGTGCCCAGAACTGGACGCAGTACTCCAGCTGTGGCCTGACCAGTGTTGCATAGAGGGGGAGGATCACCTCCTTGGACCTGCTTGAGATGCATCTTTGGATGCACGACAAGGTATGGTTGGCCTTCCTGACCGCGTCCCCACTTTGTTGGTCCATGTTCATTGTGGCATCAATGATGACTCCAAGATCCTTTTCTGTCTCGACACTGGTGAGAAGGGAGTTCCCCAGCCTGTAGGTGTGCCGCTGGTTCTTCCTCCCCAGGTGCATCACCCTGCACTTCTCAGTGTTGAACCCCATCCTGTTCTCATCGGCCCACCCCTGTAACCTGTCTAGATCCGCTTGCAGCCTGTTCCTTCCTACTAGCGTACCTTCACTCCACATCTTAGTGTCATCTGCGAATTTGAACAGGGTGCTTTCTACCCCCTCGCCCAAGCCACTGATGAAGATGTTGAATAGTGTGGGTCCGAGGACTGAGCCCTGGGGAACCCCACTGCCCACATCCCTCCAGGTCGAATAAGACCTGTCCACCACCACCCCCTGGGTGCAGCCCTCCAGCCAGTTAGTGACCCATCTGACCACGTAGGCAACATACCACTGTCTCCTAGTTTCTTACTGAGAATGGGGTGAGAGACCGCGTCGAAGGCCTTCCTGAAGTCCAGAAAGACTATAGCTACTGCGACACCTGCATCCAAGGACTTGGTGACCTGGTCATAGAAGGCCACCAGGTTGGTTTGACAAGACTGCCCCTAATGAACCCATGCTGGTTGCCCCTGAGCATAACCTCCCCTGCTGGCCCTTCCTGGACATGTGCCAGGATAATTCTTTCGAAAAACTTCCCCAGGACCGAGGTAAGACTCACGGGCCTATAGTTTTCTGGGTCCTCCTTCCTCCCTTTTTTGAAGATGGGGACCACATTGGCCCTTTTCCAGTCCTCTGGCACATTGCCTGAGCGCCATGAGTGCTCATAGAGCTGTGCTAGGGGCCCCGCAATGACCCCTGCTAGTTCCTTAAGCACTGTGGGGTGGACCTGTGGATTTAAATACATCTAGTCCCTCTAGAAGTTCCCTGACAAGGTCCTCATTAACCCTAGGCCTGGGTGTGCCACCCACAGTGGAGGAGATATCCAGGTCCCTCCTCAGAAATACGGAGACAAAGAAATTGTTGAATATGTCAGCTTTACTGTCAGGTGAGATGACCAGATTTCCTAGCGTGTCCTGCAGAGGCCCCACATTACTTGGCACCTTCTTTTGCCTCCCTATGTATTTGAAAAAGGATTTCTTGTTGTCCTTGATCTGGGTCGCTAGTCCCAGCTCCATTTCCGCCTTGGCCTTCCTGACCACCCCCCTACATTCCCAAGTGACCGAGGTATAGCCCTCTCTTGTGATGGCCCCTCCCTTCCAACAGGTTTATGCCTCCTTTTTTGTTTGAAGACGTTCCCGGATGCTTTTGGTGAGCCAGGGGGGCCTTTGCGCCCTCTTGCCTCCTTTGTTGAATTATGTTTCCTTCTGGTTATGATATTTCATATTTCACAGGAACCTGAGGTGATGGAAACTTCTCCGGGGCAGGAAATTCTCTTGTGCTGAGGCAGCTTGAGCTCTGTGAACATGTAGATTTTGCTGGAACAATGGGCAGGAGCCAGGGTGTCAGCTTTTAGGTTCAGGTGGTGAATTTGCTTCATTCTTGTAAAATTATGAAGTTTTCATTTCAAAAGAAATTACATTTCATTTGAATACTGGACAGGAATCTGTGAGGGTGACACTAAAGACAAGAGGTGGTAGGCATTGCTTGACAAGCAAAACTGATGACATGACGTGACGTTACCCCAGAGGCGGTAGAGTTGGCCCCAACAGCCTTACCTGGCACTGTGCTGGCCCCAGTAGCCTTACCTGGGCTCCTGGGGGCCTCCTAGGGCTGCAGCAGTGGTGAACCTGCCAGGCAGAGCCTGGCTGGCAGTCCGAGTGCAGCTCCGGGAGCCCTGGTTCTGCTTTTCAGTGGTGTGTGCTGCCTGTGTGCGTGCTGCTTTGTTGTTTTTTTCATGAGTTTTTTTTTTGATCCCTGGATATCTAGGGGTCAAAAACCCCCCACAGAAACAAACCAAAATATGGAGCAGCACATACACAGGCAGTGTGCCCTTGCAGTGCAGAGGACACCTGACTGTGAGGTATGTGGTGCTGCAGATGTATTTGCAGCGTCACATACCACACAGTTTTGCTCGACTGAACGTACCCATTGTAAGCACCAGCTACAGATGTTACACTTTTAACGGTATAAGTGATCAGAAACTGGGCTATACCCATTACAGAACAGAAGTTCAGCACACAAAACTTGTCTATACCCGCAACACAGGGGTGGGCAATTATTTAGGGTGGAGGGCAAACCATTGAAAGCCACATGACAGGCAGCCAGGGGCAGATAAATATTAATTTTCTATGCTTTTTAGGGGCCCTGCGGGCTGGATAGAATGGCCTGGTGGCCACATTCAGCCCGAGGGCTGCATTTTGCCCAAACCTGCCATAACAGAACAGCAGTTCAGCACGTGTAGACCAGTTTAAAAATGGTGGAACCCAGTTTAAGATTTGTCCTCCCCACTGAAAGGGCGAATGTGTGGTGTCTAAAATACACCACTTACAGAAACCTGCGTAACTTAGATGGATTCTGCTTCAGGCTTTCTGAATGTCTGTACCTAACCACTGTGTCCAACTTGGCTAGAAATTAGGCTCTAGTGGGCACCTAAAAAATGAGGCCGAACGTTTCCAGCACCACAAAAGCCTGGCTGGGTAGGTGCTCTTGTAGTATAAAAATGCTGAACAAAACAGTTAAAAAAAACACAGGCTGCTGAGCTGAAATACTAGTTGTTCAGTCACACAAGTAAGAATCTTACACAGGGGGCGCACTACCTTTTTTGCTTGTTTACCCATCTGTGGGTCCTACAAACCATGGGAATGATTAGTCCACGAGTGAGGGGATGGCTCAGATACAATGCTGGTCAACAACCGCTCTGTAAGAGGCCATCACTGAAATGATCTGGCACTGGCTGCAGGTCCAGAAAGCTTGGGCCTGACGCACGGCTTCCTGCCATCGTTTCCCTTTGACACATCTTCAAAGCAAAGGCCTGACAGATGCACCATCATGCCTCAGCAGCCCAGTGCTCAGACAGTGACACACGCAACACGGACATGTGCAGGCAAGCACACACGAGGGGCTCACGTGGGGGCATGAGGCAATGGCAGGCACAAAAAGAACTGGCTTGCCCTCGAAACTGCCTGAGCGCCCAGCCACGGGGCAAGCACACCAGAGGGCAGCGTGTGAATGTGCAGGAGCAGGGGGCACTTAGGACTAGAGGAGAGGGCCGCGCGGTGCCAGGATGCCCGTGCGGGGAGAGCTGCGTGTTCAATGCACAGAGGAACCCTGTGTTGGGAATTTGGGCATGAGCATGCCAAGGAGGTGCAGAGGGCTCGTGTGAGGGCTCAGGAGTGCAAGTGGGGTAGGGTGGGCGTGAACAGGCAGGCATGCAAATGAGCATGGGAGTTTACCTCTCTGCAGCGGAAGCCCAAGAGCCCCCTCAAACCAAACCCCGCCCAGCTCCACAGAGACAACACGCGACTCTTCCTCCCCCCTCTCTGCTCAGTCGGGACGGGGCGGACGACTTAGCGCATGCGCACCCTCCTCCTCACCCCCCGCTGAGCGGACGGCTGGTTAGGGAAACGGCTCTGGTGACAGGCCATTCCGGCCCCGCGCTCAGCCAATGGGCTTCCGCGCACCGCCCCCTGGAGGAGAGGCGCATGCGCAGCGGGAAAGCGCTGGGTTTTCGAACGAACGGCCTGGCGCGCAAGCTTCAGAGGCGGCGGCCCCGGCCCCGGCGCTGGGCGACAGGGCTGTCGGCGACATGGCAGAGGCGCTGGTGAGAGCGGGAGCCGGGGCGGGGGACCCTGAGGTGGCGCCCCATTTCAAACGCCGTGGAGGACGGTTGGGGACGGGGCTCGCGGGTCCTCGCGCCTCCGAGGGGCTGTGCAACGTTGTGAACCGCGCGCGGGGGCCGTGACTGCACTTGCTCGAGGGCAGCGCCGTTGGCCCTTGCGCTCTGCGCCTGCGCGGGTTAAGGCCCTGAAGCGCTGCCCTGCCCCTGCTGTCGGCCCGCTCTTGCCCCTAGTGCTTCTGTGACTTCGCCCCCCGCCCCCTTCGCCTTTCGCTTCGATGCGTCTGACTCCTACTGAGCCTGCTGGGACCCCGCACCCTCTGTGCGCTCAGTGCTGCTGTTCCAGCCTCTCTCTAATTGTGCTCCGTGTTGCCAGGTGTACGACAATGATCGTATTTGTATGATAGTTTCAAGCCTTGTCTGATCAGTGAGAGGAAAAAGTGTTCAAAATGTACAGTTATTTGTGAGGCAGCTCGTTGATGCAGCAGATGCAAAACCCCAGTCACTCTCAGGGAGCCTTAACTGACTTTTGGGTTTGCTGTCAGTACTTTCTTATGATGGCCTGCCTCAAAGTACAGAAACACTTCACCTTTGATGACCCATTTCTCACTCACTGGTGACTTACAGTGGGCAATATAAAGGAAATAATAAGATGTATTTGCATAATCATTTCATACTTATTTGGATATTCTTTTGGTGCACAATAGTTTTTCAGTAAATACAAAAGCTTTGAGCTTCCAATATGATAACTTTATATTTAAGATCTGGCAATGCTGGTTGTGCTTCTGACTGCTCTCCAAGGCATCATCTTGCGCTTGTCTGCGTTGAATGTCCTCCTGAGAGCTTCCGCCCAGTTTTCTGACCCGCTGAGATTCTTTGTGATTTGAAGGCTGTCACAGAAAGCTTGTTGAGCACATTTGTGGCCAGCATGAAACTAGAAAAGATTGCAAACGTGCTGGAGGACAGGAGCGCGATTCAGAAGGATCTCAATGGTTGGAAGCTCACAGGACGACAGCCTCTTGCAGTCTGAACATAATGCTTTCTTAAAGAGCCTTATTAGTCACAAACCTAAGAATGGCCAGCAGGACTGTATCAACCCACCCCCTAACTCAAACTCTGCCAGCCCTAGCAATTACATCTCTAGCCCAAACTCCAACCCAGACCTGAGCCCAGAGAGCCCTACTACTCAGCCATAAGCCTTCTTCACAGTTCCCTTCCAGCTCCATCCCTAATCCTAAATCTAACTGCTACCCCAACCCTAGCCTGAGGGCTCATTAGCTCTAACTGTAAATGCAGCGTGATAATCCGTAATCCTAATCTGGGGCGCACTGTCAGCCCCACCACTAACTCTACCTCTGGAACCACTTAGCAGTTGCTACCCAGGCCCAGGACAGACCCTGTGGGGCTTCACTTAGAACCTTCTGTCCTTCTGAAGTGGGCTTGTTAATATTTACCCTCTGCTTGTGGCTACTGAGCCAATTATCTATCCACCTTTTAGTAGTTTTGTCCAACACACATTTCTCCAGTTTCTTTGAGAAGTTCATGCAGGACCTTGTCAAAAGCTTTGCTGAAGTCCAGATACACTATCCACAGCCTTCCCTTCATCCACCAAAGTAGTTCTTGGCAAGGAAATGCTGCCTGCCAGCCTGTGCTGCAAGGGAGGCATTTTAGATCAGCCTAAGGTTGAATTGCACCCGAGTCTGGTGGTGGGATGCCAGCAAGGCGTTTTCAGCACTCCTGTCTCAGCCAGCAGCTGTGGGGTGACTGCTGGCGAATGCCATGCTGCAGTTATGCTGATGGGGCTAGAGCATGATGATGCAACTGCATTTGCTGCACATTAGTTTTTCCTAAACTTCTCTGCCTACACTAGGGGAAGAACAGAGATGACGCCTTGTGAGGAAATAGCCACAGTGGCAGGGGGTCAAGTCAAATCTTGATGCAGTGCATACAGAAAACAAAATGACAATGCTGTGTTCATCATGACTGCCACTTGGCATGAAGGAATTTGCCTCAAGCACCAAAATCTAATGGCTACACAAGCCAAGATGCAAAACAAATAATGTTGAAGACTGTAGAAAAAAAAATATCTGACCAAAGCCTTAACATCAGAGCCAGGTATTGGCCAGCCTATTAGAAATTGATGGTCCAATGGCTCCCCTCTTGCATTGCTAAGAAAAGGAGTAGTAGAGAAATCACCAGAGGTCTGGCATTACATAACCCTGCGTGCCAATCAAATACAGATTACAGTTTAATGGGGGCTGTGGGACCACAAGACTACAAATCTAATGCAAAGACCCAGGTCTTATAAAATTTAAAAGCAAAAATTAGCTGTAAGGATGCAGCGGCAGCAGAACTCAACTGCAGAGCATGATCAGAATGATGCATACTAGGAAGGTACTAGAGGGAGCTAGCATGCTATTGTGCCCCTCTTAATCTCTTCTTATTTATTAATTTATTAGGTCTCTCTTATCCAAAAGACTCAGAGCATCTTACAATAAACAAATGACCCACAGGCAGGATTCCCCAAACAGCACCCCAAAACCCAAGAATTTCACTTCCATCCGCAACCACCACTTCCCCGGTTCACTCAGCCTTTCCTTGTATAGTTTATATCCATCTCCTGTCATTGTCATTTGCCTTGGATGCTTTCCAGTTTATATATATCCTCCGTAAAATGTGGAGCCCAGAAATGCACTGAGTATTCCAGTGGAGACCTACTCCAGCACTGAATAGAGTGGTACTCTCACCACCTGTGTCTTTGTTACAATATTCTTGCAGCCCAAAATTGTATTTGTTTCTTTTTTCTTTTTTAAATTTTTTTGCAACTGCACCACAATGGTGACTTATGTTGAGTCTGTGATCAATCAAGACCCCCAAATCCTTCTCAGCCATGCTGCTGCTTAGTCAATTATCACCTGTTCCATATTGTATATTTGGCTTTCCTCCCTAGGTGTAACATCTCACCTTTTTTCTTTGTTAAATTTCAGTATGTTGTCTAGTATTCCAATTCTCTAATTTACCAAGTTATTTTTGAATTCTTATACCCCAGAATATATTCAGTCCTCCTATGACTTGGGTTAGGGTTGAGGCTTGAGCTAGGAGTTGTAGCTCCTAGGGGTTGCACAGCTGCCAGATTATCCTTTTTTTGGATTAGACCGTGAAAGCTAGGGTAGCAGCTGCTAGTGGTCGCAGAGCTAGAGTTAGTGGTGGGGCTGAGAGTGCACCCCAATTAGAATTAGGTGGTGTATGGTAGGGATTATCATGCTGTACGTGTGGTTGGAGCTGATGGGCCCTTAGGCTAGGGGTGGGGTAGCAGTTAGATTTAGGGTTAGGGTTACAGTTGTGGCTAGTAGGGCTCTTTGGGCTTGGGTTGGAGTTTGGGCTAGAGTTGTATGTGCTAGGGCTGGCAGAGCTTGAGTTAGGTTTGTGATTTGTAGGCTTCTTTGAGAGAGCATTATGATGGGACTGCCAGAGGTCCATTTTTGGGGTTGCAACTTTGAATGGATCTAAGAGACTGAGTTAGGGGTAGAGATTGTAAGGCAACCCAGTCTAGAGTTTGGGTTGTGGCTTCTTGACTCTGGGGCTAGGGCTAAAATTAGGGTTTCAGCTGCTAAGGGATTACAGCACTCGGGTTAAGGTTGGGACTGATAGATGATAGAACACCATGGGCTAGGATTAGGGTATGTGTAGTATCGGCCTCTTGAAGGCTCAGATCAAGTGTCTTTCCATGCTTTGCTTTCAGTTTGCACTGATAGCCTCGGGATGGGATGGGGGACGTGTGGGATAGTGGCAGTAGCTAGCCTAAAGGCTTTGTATTTTCTGTAACCTTCATCAGGAAGTTCTCTATTTGACATCAAAGTTATTAATAAAATGCTAAACAGTACTAGATCCACTATAGACCCCATTTTAAACTTCGTGCCATTTGATATCATTCTTTTTATAGTTGTTCTTTACTTATGGTTATTCAGCCAAACATATATTCACCTAATATAATTCTGTCTGGCCCACATTTCTCCAGTTTCCTTGTAAGAATATGATTTCAAAAGCCTTACTGAAGTCCAAGTGTGTTATGTGTTATTGGAGCTAGACTGTTCTCAGAAGTGGCAAATGACAGAACAAGGAGCAACCATCTCAAGTTGCAGCAAGGAAAATTTAGGTTAGATATTAGGAAGAATTTTCTCACTAGAAGGGGGTGTAGTAAAACACTGGATCAGGTTACCCAGAGAAGTTGTGGAATCTCCATCCTTGGAGGTTTTTAAGGTTTGGCTAGACAAAGCTATGGCTGGGATGATCTAGTTGGAGATGTTCCTGCTTTGAGCAGGGGGTTGGACTAGATGACCTCCTGAGGTCCCTTCTAACCCTAACTTTCTATGATTCTGTGTCCATTTCATTTCTTTTGTCTACCAAACTAGTTTTCCTGATATGCTCTTAAGAAATCTGTGTTGGGTACAACTGATCAACCTTTACTCCTGGTTTTCACATATTGATTGCTTTCCAGTTATTAAAATCAGGCTGACTATTCCATAGGGGTGCACCAATAGAGATTTTTGGGCTGATACCAATGGTCTGCCACTGCAGGCTGGGGCTGGTCCCGGGTTCTTTCTGGCGAGGAGGCTGGGCTGGTCTACACTCAGGGCAGGTAGCGGTGGTGCTGGGAGTGGATGCCATTGGGAATTTTGGGGTGGCTGTAACCCCCCCCCCCCCCCCCTTATCTTCTCCTTCCAGCAGTGCTACCACCCGTCTTGAGGACAGCCCTGGCCCAACCCCTCCTCCAGGAAGAGCTTGGTGCAGCTCTGGCTCCAGCCCACAGTGGCAGACTGCCTTTGCCCTGTGCACAGATTTGTGGGGTACACGCCACCCATGCCCTCCTGAGATGTGTGTAGGGGCAGGTGCTGCGCACCTGGACATGCTGCTTGCGGCTCTGTCCTGTGCCCTGCTCTGTCACAGCTGCTCAGCGCCTGCCCCAGCCCTAGTCCCTCCCTCACTGTGGGGGCCTTTATAGAAGTTTGTTTTCTTTTTCTTTTCAAATGGTAATGTGTTTGGTAAAACAGTCTCCCTATTATTTTTTTAACAGAATCATTTAAAAAAAGATTACAGAGCAAGATTCTGCAATGGAGAAAGGTAATGTGTTTAGATTTAAAATTTTAGTTCTTAGGAACTGAATATTTTGGAGAGTAACTTTGGTTAATATTGAGGTTAATATCACAGCTTCTAATTGTAACCCTTTAAATTGGTTTTGGCATATGGTGCATAATGAGGTCAGATCTGTGGGGGTTTCTGTGGTGCAGCTGCACCCTGCATCTACTGTGCAGCTCACATGCTGGTGGCTCCAGTTTCCTGCGGCACTGGGTGCCTAAGACCCTGCGGAACCTGGGTAGGAATAGAGCTCAGATTGGGAGGGATTGTGGTGAGGCACAGCTCAAGCCCCAGGGCTAGCAGGGAACACCTGAAGGGGAGGGAACAGGTGTAGGAAGAGGGGATATGCCTGCTGCTGCTGTGGTCTCCATAATGGGGGCAAGGGGAGTCCAAGGGCCATTACTGCG